AAAAAAAAAAAAAAAAAAAGGATTTAAAGGGCGCATTGATAGACTGCCGGAAATGAACCTCCACGGGGAAAATATACTAAAACGTTTGTACTATAAGCGTATACAGTGGAGTTTCCTCGCGTTCATGTGTTCAGCTGTTTTCCCCTTTGCGCTTCTAACCCGTTGTTTACGTCCTCCCTCCCTCCATCGTAGACTTAACCAAAAAGGATGCGTCAGTTATGGAACATTTTGTGGTTGTCTTCTCCCTTTTGAATTGTTTGATGCACGTGGTTGTGCTGATAAAGGTTTCCTTTACCCCGGCCAAAAACTCCCATTCGAAAAGTTTGTTTGTCGGGTATATCATAATTGTAAGTTGCGGCATCGGGGGACAGATTAGCTTCACATTTCCAGCTAAGCCACTTTGCGAACGAACTTCTTTCACAAGTCGATATATATATTTTTTCCCTCATATACCTATTTCCCTGTCGCACCCATCCCTCGCGCAGAACCAAGTGTTTCAATTCTTGTCTCTCTACTTATTTACGAAACAAAATGAGGAGAATAAGGCCGATAGCACCCGTTTAATCCTCTACAACAGCAACTTTAGTTTGTATGTTCACTTCTTTGTAGATTCAGTGTTTCTTCTATGCCTGCCCACCCTCAAGTAGGTATTTGGATGACCGCCTTTGCTTTACACCCCAAGGGGGACGCACAAGGAGACGTACGGGCGATGTGCAACACATGGAACATTCTCCCCACACAAAAGTGTGTATATACATCGATTTAATGATCATAAAGTGCCACCCCTTTTTTCCTTACGCCCCCTCTCTCTTAGCTTCCTCTCAACGCTGATATTTCTAATCGGCTACTTAATCATGAACGCAGTGCTAATGGCCCTGATTAAGTTTTCCACGGCCAAAATAGAGGTGGAGTTGTACTTCATGTACATACTAACCGTACTGCTGGTTATGTTTACCATTTTGAGATATTTGGCGGAAGAAAGAAATCGAATTTTGCTACACACGATTAAAGACATAGTTTGCAGTAATTACAAAAAGGTGGGAGATTTCAAATCGACGTTCGACAAGGAAAATGAGTCCATCGCTGTTGATATAGCAAAGGATGATAACTACGACAAGATGGAAGAGAATTATAAATTTTTATTTTCCGACAAAAGCTTTTTCTTTAACGATTTTACGATAAATGCGTGTTATAAGGACTACTACTCGGTGTCCTATTTTTTAAAGCGATTATTAATTGGGTGTGGTTCTAACAAAAACAAAGAAATGAAAAAAAATATAAATGAGGAAAAAAAAAAATTCCAAAATGTGAAAAAACACCTGAACGAGTCAGACATTTTAACCATAGCATACGAAACAGACGTGTTAAAAAATGTGAAAAAAATAAATTCAGACGAAATAGGAAGAAACTGGGATTATTCCTTTATCGATTCTGAGCATGGGAAATCGACTCTCGTCATTTTACAAGTGGGTTATCATTTAATTAGTCCATACATGGAAAACAATGAAAAAAAAAAAAAAAAATTACAGTTATTTTTGTTGTTAATAAACAATATGTACTTCCCCAATCCCTACCACAACGCGAATCATGGTGCAACCGTTTGCCACCTTTCAAAATGTCTTGCACACATGACCGATTTTGACAAGAGCTTAAATAACACCTACATGATTTGTTATTTAATTGCGTCCATAGCACATGACGTGGGGCACCCCGGGAAAACAAACGCCTACCTCACAGAAACGAACCACATATTATCCATTAGATATAATGACATGAGCATTTTAGAAAACTACCACTGTAGTATCACCTTTTCCATTTTGCAACTCATTGGGCATGACTTTTTAATAAATAATGAGGACACTAAACTGGTGGAAAAAAACAATTACACGAATTTGAGAAAGTTTATCATCGAGTTAATAATTGCGACGGACATGAAATTGCACTTTGAATATGTGGACATTTTTAAGAAGCGAAAGAGGAGCGAGAATTTTGACATTAGTGACAGGGACGCCATTAATTTGGGCACGATCAACATCAAGGTGGCGGACATTGGGCACACGTGCTTGAAGTGGCGCGACCACGCCAAGTGGACCATGCTCGTGAGTGAGGAGTTCTTTTTGCAGAAGAAGGACGAGGAGCTGCATCGGAAGAACAAGAGCATGGGTGAGCGGCGCACACAGCGTAGTGAGCGAAGCGGCGGCCAAGTGAACATGTGAACCCTGTGCGATTGCGCGGACCCTCTCACGCACATCTCTCCCCTCTTTCCCCCCCCCACGCAGGCGCCTACCAGTGTACCCCCCGGGGGAACGAGCAGTCCATCGACGAAGCCATGATTTTCAATTATGAAAATATATACATCAACTACATCAACAATATCAACAACGTTAACAATTACGACTTTAGTTACATCAAACTGAATTTTATACACGACCATGATTTTGTGAAAAGTATACCCAGCACCCAAGTCTATTTCTTTGAAATTATTGTAATGCCTTTAATTCAAGAATTACAATCCATGGAAAAGGCAAAAAAGGAGATAACGCAAAAAGTGCTTCACAATTTAAACGTTAACCTAAAGGCATGGAGATTAATTGAGAAAAATATTAACCTCTTTTACAATACGGACAAAATGAGAGTCACAGATTATTACAAAAATTTAGAAAAAAAAAAATTGCTAAGGGGAATTATTAGCCTCTTAGACATCGGTGAAGAGGATGTCATATCCTTGACAGAGAATTACAGTCAGGAGGAAAATGTCCAGCAGCCAGAGGAAGAAAAGAAGGAAAAAAAAAGGGCAGCAGGGTAAAGGGCCATCGTAAGGGCGGGGGCGCCACATGGTGTGGAAATGTCACTTCAAAAAAGTGCTGTCTAATGTGAGGACAAAAAAAGTAACTCAATTGTTGTGTGTGTTGGTGTGACGCATATTTGTAGCATCTTCCCAGCTGAAAAGGTATCATGAGCGTTCTTTTTTTTTTTTTTTTTTTTTTTGTACGCTGCTATTTTGACGTGCTGAACTAAAATGGTAAACCGAAATAAGTCCCTTGTGAGCTCATTTGGAAGTCAGCTCTGAGAGATGGAAGAACGTACACCTGTGATGCTTGTGTGACGATAGAGAAAAGGGGAATTATATAGCTTGCCTATCCTCGTGCGTGGCAGAACGCGATCGCCCATCGTCATGTGTGGAAGAATGGGAGATCACCCGCACACACATTCGTACTGTTACCAGTGTGAGTGCGCGATCCCCCATTTTTAATGCGCGCATTTCCTCTCCTCCCCCTCGGTAATGTCAAAGAATATTTTATCGAGACCTCAATATTTGTGTTTTTATATAATTTGTGCTTAACCCACATGCGATTTTTCGCATTGGATTTAATTCATTTCTTTTACCACTGCTTTAGCTGATGGATTTCGCGCCACGACGCATTTTTTCCAGCACCCGAAAAATCAGACGCTTCCCCCGTACGGGGGCGATCACAGCATGCACTTACGCATCCATATTTGTGTACATATATATATATTTAAAAACGTACTTTTTGTATGTGTGTGTATATACACATCCTCTCCTACCTTTTGCATGCCCCACTTTGATAAATTAATTCCCCATAATAATTATTTTATTTATTTTTTTTTTTAATTTGTTACTTTTTCTTTCAAAAGAAAAACATGTTTCAGTAAATATATCAAAAAAAAAAAAAAAAAAAAAAAAACATACCGTTAAAAATGTTGAAACAAAAAGGCATACACAAAAGGAGCAGCCACACACGCCGCGTTTCCGTTTCACCTTTAAGAGCTACTTTCCTTTTTTTCCTTCATGAACTTTTTGTAATCCTCCTTAATCATGTTCATCCTCTCGTTGTAATATATCCTGTCATTTTCGTCCAAGAATTCGTCGTTTTTTTCTTTCAGCTTTTTTAAAATAAATTCCTCCCGTTCGCTTTTGTTCCGCAGTTTGCGCCAGTCGATGTAGCTAATGTGAATGACGTTGTAGCCTGGGGGGTGGGGAAGAAAAGGGATAGGGTTGGCAGCAATAAACACACACACGCAAACCTACACATACACGTGCACGTACAAGACGAAACCAATGGACGCTAACTCCGCATCGATTCCCTCAGGCATATTTGCTCCGCGCCCGGACGTGTGGATCCACTGTTTACTCACCTAATTTGGTCAGTATCCTATGCTTCAATTTCGTGTACGTCGTGTACCTGTTACTGTTCGCGTAGAAATGAGAAGGGCCATCAACCTCTATGGCTATGGGTCGATTATCAGCAAAGATGGAGTCTTCTTCATTGTTCTGTCCCCCCTCGGAACCACTGTTAGGGTTGTCCTGACTGTTGGTTTTTAAAGGGCCAGCTAATTTTTCCGTAATCAATTTGATCAGTTTTAATTTCTCTTTTTTTTCTTCTTCCGTTAAATTTTCATCTACTTCAAAAATATTCGGAATGTCTTCATCATTTTCTGCCCATTTGTTTGAGCCGTCATTTGGGCTATTACTAAATTGTTGTTCATGTGAAAAGTCAGGGTTCCTTCCAGATTCGGAATTTTCCGCACTATTTGATCTTCTCGTGTGGTCTTTTTCGCTCATGTCACAGAACTCTGTGGCCTCATTTGATCCTTCAAGTGTATTATCGAAATCGTCCACGTCGTTTTTTATGTGTTTCTCTTTAGCGCTGTTTTTATCCCCCCGGTGTGCGTTAAAAGAGTCGTTTTTTTGTTCGGGTTTATCCTGAGCGCTGTTGGAGGGGCATTGTTTGCCCTTTTTTGTAGAATCGTCACTGTGATATGTATGATCACCCTTTTTACCTTCCTGGGTTGATTCGTCTTTTCCCCCTTGTGTCGTTTCATGCACCTGATATGGGTGCCTTTCCTCATCGTCTGCTGGCCACCCCTGCGTAGCCTCTCTCTCCACACAAGCACTAGTGTAATTAGATCCCTCTTGTTTGTCCCTCATTTCGGAAAAGGGATCTGTCTCTTTATCACCTGCAAAGTTTCCAGCCCCATTTGTTCTATTGCTGACTGCATAACTCTCATTATTTTTTAAAGCATTATGTGATCGTATGTCTTTAACATTTTGGAAAATTTCTCCTATACGCTGATTATTCTTTTGGTTTATTTTTTCACCAAAATGGACATTATCCTCTTTTTTTTTTTTTTTTTCATCTTCATTTTGTTGACTTCCCTGCACATAATTCAGGTAGCTGTTGTTGATGTAATTTTTATTTTCACAAAAGGTTCGACGTCTCTGCAGCGCTAAAAAAAATGTCCTACTCCTTTTCAATATCATTATGTGTAGGGGGAAATGTTTGGGAGTTTTTCAGGTGGGAGCCGAGATGCAAAACAACAAACGTTCGTGCTACAGTGAAGAAAGTGGGAGAGGAAAAAAGTCCACCCGTTCGCCACTCAGCCTATTTTTTTTTTTTTGCATACCGTACAGGTTGCCCTCACTGAATGGAAGTTACACAGCACATGTTTGGATTCTGCATGGTAAGGGAAAGAATTAGCGATTCCTCTACGTTTGTAGTGGTAAAAAAAAAAAAAACAGCGCTTCGTTGGTGTGGCTGAAAATGGTAGAACTACTTAGTGAAATTGTAGTGTGACGTTTTTTTATGGTGACAACATGTGGCCATGCCAAACGGCAATAAAAAAAAAAAAAAAAATGATGATTGCCGAAAGATGCCTTTTAATGCGTATCTCGAAAAATGAAACATACCGACTCCCTTCACCTACATGTAGATGGGCCATCTACCGAAGGGGAAAAAAAAAAAAAAAGCATATCCGAAACTTGTCGCTAAGCAAATTGTATGCGCATTACACCGCTCCTGTGCATCCAGGAACTTTAATTTTAATTTCAATTTCGATTTTTTTTTCTTTTTAAAAAAACAAATTTTGACCGTTCTTCGGTGGGAAAAAACGGAAAAGCATTTTCTTTTTTTGCACTTTTGAAAAACTGTTATGGTTAAGAAGTGTTCTGCTGAAAATTGTGAGGGACCAAAATTCTGCAGCGACGGCAGGGCTTGTGCTGCATATAGCAATTTGTGAGCAGATGGTGTAGCAAGAAAAAGTATGCCCGCATTTGTTATACGCATGTATGCACTCATGAATTATAATACGCGTTAAAGGGGCCCCACGTAGATGAAACCACCCTGGGCTAAGTGGAAAAAATTGTCCCAAGAGAGGGAGCGAAGGAGTACCTAGCCATAGTGGCATAGGACAACAGAGGCACACGTTACACCATCTGTGCTACATTACTGGTGTAAATATATAGCCCCGCTTCTGAACCACTTTGCCCCGTGTATATTTTGTCTCCGTCCACTAGACCTCCAGGATGAAAGGGAGAATCCCCATACTCACCCACAACGCCCTGCTGAAGGTAACCAACTTTTGTTGCGTGAGCGAACGAAGGTGTTCATTCGGCTTTTTCGAAAAGGAGAGAAGAATCACTACGAATATTTACGGGACCAAAGAAGATAAAATTAAACATGTGGGAGAGCTCAAATTAAAAAGTTTAAAAAAAAACAAAACCGTTACGAAGGATGACAGCAACGAAGATGTGTACATTCTGAATGGGAAAATATTATATGCACAAAAGAGTAAGAAAGAAAAAAATGATTTAAAAATAAAATATGGTTTGAAGAAAGCCAAGTATCTGGACACGACGAGAAATTTATTTTATTCCAAGTTGAGCAACAGTTTGGGGGAGAGTAGCTCGATGGAGCTTCCCACTCGGGAGGATACATACAGAGGTCTGGAGGGTGCAGAGGCACATTTGGCACCTGATCGTGCGGGGGGCGTAATAGAAGGTGAAGGCTATAACCCATGCGCAGATTTGAACAGCGGGGCGAATGCTGAGGCTATGCAGACCGCCATAAAAGAAGGAATGGAGGCTACTTCGATCAGGGGTGATAGCACGAATGATACGCTCCACGCAGGGGAAACGAAATTAAGTGACTCCCCCATGGAGATGAGGAATGGTGAATCGGCGGGAAGTTCGAATTTACAAAATGGTGACGACTTTCATGTGAGTGCTCCCTGTAATGTGCAGCACGAAAGTAAAAATGTGTCGAGCGCGAATGCGACGCAACCCTCCGCGGAAGAAGAGGAGAAACATAAAAGTACAGACACGATGAAAGAAGCTTGTGGTAAATCGAGCCACTATGCAAGTGTCCCCAACCTCAACATTGAAAAGGACACCTCCGCAGGTAATACAAAACGGGGAGGTGTCAGCACAACCGCAAAAGGTATTGGACCGGAAGGCGTTGGACCGGAAGGTGTTGCATCGGAAGGCGTTGCATCGGAAGGCGTTGCATCGGAAGGCGTTGCATCGGAAGGTGATGTGTCACAAAATTGCCCTCCCCCAAAGGGCAAACCTCCAAAAGGCGACATTTACGAAATTTTGGAAGAAATTACCCATGAGCCCAGCAGGCGCGAAATGAAGGCCTTCCTAAAATCACTGCTAATGCATAAAAATAAAAAGTGCACAAAATTCCTAGGGAACTACATAAGCCTATACTTTTGTAACATCCTGAGCCAAGATTTGAAGGACCTAAAGTATTCCTATTTCGATGGAGTAACCCTCTGTGTCAACACCTTTTTCAGTATGCTGAAACAGTTGGATGAAGATCAGCTGTCCAAAATGACAAACATTTATTTGAAGGATTATTTTTTAAAAATTTTCCAAATATTAAAATCGAATAATTTAAGTTTGCATTTTGAAAATTTAAAAATAGAAAATATGAGATTGCTGTACATATACAACATATTAGGGTTAACAAGGAAGGAGGGAAAAAGGACGAAAAAAGAAAATATAAAAAAATTCCTTTATCAATATATTTGTGTGCAAAATGAAGATTTAGCGGTCCTGAAAAACACCAACAAAATGAAGTTCCTGTCAAATATAATTAAAAATGGAGTTACCACACGATTGCACATGTTAGTCATTCTCTCTTATGACCTGTGTGGATACGACACTACTTCTTCCAACTGCCTTACAAAAACTCAATTTAAAAATGTGCACTTGGAAGTTATCCTCGAGAATCAGCTGGAAAACCCCTTCTTCTCGTTGCAGTCCCCAGATTCGATAGACCTGAAGTCGTCTGGATGGTACCTCGTTGACGTGAATCAAATATTGAACGGGAATCTGCCATACGAGTGATTTGTAACGGGGGAAAAAAAAACGCACATCCGTATTGACCTCCTTTTTTTTTTGCTTTGCAAATTGTTTCCTTCAAATGTGATATGTTGACATGTCAAATTTGAGAAATGAATTTTTTTTTTTTTTTTTTTTTTTTTTTGTAACTCCGCAATTTTCCACCTACAGTAAACTATTCCACTACTGCGACTCCAGTCAAAATATACGCACATGTGCTGACGGCGCACGGTTCTGGAGCAAACATGCGTGGTGCACAAAAAAGGAGGGGAGTGCATATGTTCATTCTACAAAGGGAATTTTCATATGAAAGGCATCTTCGGTGAGCTTGTCCATTTCTTGGAGTTCTGGGTACGTCTTGTAGAGGTCTGTGGCATCGCTGTAACTGTTTTGTTCTTCTTCATACTCACGGTCCACTTCGTCTATCTTGTTTTTCTTTTTCTGCTTCTCCAGGTCTCTGCGTGGGGGGAAGGGAAAAAGGGGCATCATGAGTGCTGCTCGTGGGGGAGACGTGTACACACTATTGGTAGGGGAAACCTCTGGGCAATCACACGCACACAGAACAGGCCTCTCCGCGCGCGCGTTTCTCTCCCTCTCTACTCTTGTGAACGTACTGTTTTATCATGTGTAGGAGGCGTCTGATTTGGCCGTTTTCCGGCTCGAAGAGGTCGCCGCGGAAAGAGTCTTCTTCAACCATATCTCCCGCGATGGACTTGCGTTTCTTCAAAATGTGGCCCCTGAGGATACCAATTTGCTCATCACTGAGCGGCTCGACGTCCTTGGCAGAATTCTCATAAAGGTTTATTGTTTCTTCTGCCAAAATGTAAATGGATTGCATTTTGTCATTTTCCCGACACTTGGCCTGTTTCTTTTTTATAATGGTCTCTTTTATATACTCAACGGGGAAGACGAAATTTTTATATGCCTTTAGCAGCTCATTTTTTACGTCTTCACGAATTTGCAAGTTTTCAATGTGTTCCTTTTTTATGGGCTTCATATTATTTAATGTGAGATTCATTCTTCCAATTTTGCTATTGTAGGTACATGGGTATATATACAATTTTTTTTTTAATTTATCTAGGTCCTTCAGCAAGTAATTTAGTTCGTTAAGATTTAGCATGGGGATTTTTTCATATAGCTCTTTGTTGTAATTTTGTATCACCTGTACTGTTAATGCGTTCGGATTTTCAAATGCCATGTCGAAGACAGTCATAAGGATGCCTTCACAATCTGTTTGCAAAAATTCCTTATAGGAATGCTCATTCGATGAGAAATAATCAGCCACAATTTTTCTGTATAACTTATAATTTTCCTTTCCCAGGTAGGCCAAAATATATTCTTCTCGTATGCTTGGGTAGTGATGGTATGCCTTGTTAATTCCCGAGTAGTACGTGTCACATATGTTCTTTAAGAGTTTGAAATTCTTGTCTATGTTGTTTTTGTTGAGACGGTATTCAGTGTCCTTGTGTAGTTCTCCTCTCATGAAGTAGAAGTCCCTCTTGGAGAAAAAAATTTCTTCGAAAATTTGCTGCTCAGGGGATTTCTGCTGTTCAGGCGATTTCTGCTGCTCGGGCAACTTGGGGCGCTCTTCTATGTTGAGCCCTTGGTGGGGACTATCCCTTCCCCGTTCCGCTTTTGAGAGACTCTTCTTGTCCCAGCGCGGGGAGTCATCGTCCCGCCGCCCGACTAACCCCATTATGTCCTTCTCCCGCTTAAAGTATGAATTAAAAATTTTGTTTATAGTGCTATTGGAGAGGTTAAAAATGTTACGCGCGTTTCTCGTTTTAATGTTATCAAATCTGCAAAAGAAGATGTCTCCTTCTTTAAGATTTTCATAATCGATGTAGCGCTTCTCGATCAGCGTGATGACGTCTCTTACGTGTTCCTTGTTGATTTTGTTACACCCGGTGGTGTCACAGGTAGGGGTATTTCCTCCATTCTCGGAGTCGCTTTCCTGTACTGTCGCCGCCTCGGGGCTCAAAACCCTGGTGGACAAAATCACATAATTGTTAAAGAAAGCGAGAACCTTGGAGGGATACCTCAACATGGAGTCGTAATCCCGAATGACATTTTGGTCAGTAGACATCCTTTTTATAAGTTCATATATCTGGTGTGTAATTGGGTCCGAGTTAACCATGCTGCCTTCGTACAAATTGGGGTCCGAGGTTTTGTTCACGATTCGAACGTAAAGCAATTTTTCCTTTTTAAAAATGTAATCGTCGACGTTGATGTATTTGAGAGCATCTTCTTCGTTGCATCCGTAAAAGTTTTGCTTGAATTGTTTATACTTATCTGCGTAGTCCTTCGCGCGTATGGACCCTTTTGTTTTTTTCTCTTGTGGGGCGATATCCCTTGTGTAGCGCGTTTCAAACGAGCCACTTTCGCCTGTGTGAAGGGCGTCGCCACTTTCTTCCGCCCTTCTGTTTCCCATTTTGTGGGTTGGAGCACGATCTTCATTGGTGTCCTCCACGGCAGCCGAATTGTGCAGAGCAAACTCATGTGTTATGACTTTATTTTTGAGGTAATCAAAATTGCGCAAAATATTTCTCGTGTTAATAATATTATGAGATTTTATTTTCACCTTAACAGGATTATTTTTAGCCTCAAAAATATTCACAATTATATTATTTCCATCATTACAAAAATCAGACACCTCCGCTTTGAAGTAGACATTTTCAAATAAATTTTCCACGACAATTGTATGTTGCAAATTTCGTAATTTTTCATTTATTTCATTATTGGGGATTTTATGTAAACTTAAAAAGACATACTCGAGTTTTTTATTCACGTCAATTATGTATGCACTTATTTTGGGGGTTGCGTTTTTGGACCCTTGTAGGAGCTGCGCATTGTGTTTGTCCTTCTCATCATTTTCGTCGTACAGCAAATACCCTTTTATGCATCCATTTATTAAAACTACAAAATATTTATTCCTTACATTTTTTACAATTTGTATAAAAATTTTTTTTTCTGAATTTTTCAGTTCATTTAATTTGTCGTAAATTATTTCTTTTCTTTTGTTTATTTCGTTTGTAAATAATTCTCCGATTGTTCTATTTTTATCATCAATTTCTTTTACCAGAACAAGGCAATCTTTAACGTCATCATTTTGTACATATGGGGATTGGTCTTCCCACTTAGGGTTTCCCTTCCGCATCAGTCTAGTATACATTGCATGGTCAATAAAATTGTTCCTGTATAAATATTCGTACAAAAGTTCATTTTCCAACAGGTAGTTATTTTCCTTCTTAATTATAATTTGCTCATTATCATCATTTTTTAATTTCACAAATATATCGTTATTAACAACGTTTGTCACTCTACCCACTTTTAATTGTCCCACATGCATATCTTTAGCGTCTTTTAATCTGTGCACACTTTTTTTCCTTACCCCATGGTGCATTCCCCTTCTCATCATTTGCGTATCTTTTCGTTCGTTATTTCTACTTCCAAGGAGGAAGTTATACAGGGCATTGCCCATCCTCTTTCTGTATCCATTAGTACATGTTGAAAAATGCGCGAGCAGTAAAAGGAGGAAAACTCCCCAGGGGGGTTTCATTTCTGTTCGCCGCTCGCTTTACTTCACTTCACAATTGGTGAAGAGAAAGCGGCTTGATCGAATTACACGACTCGGTTATTTGCATACATGTGGGCACATTTGCTTACCTCACATGTTGGAGGTATGTTGGAGGTATGTTGGAGGCATGTTGGAGGCATTTTCCTGCCATTTCCGTGTCAAGGGGTGCTCCTGGTTCTGCCTAGAGTGGTGCGTCTTTAAGCAGGCGCGTGTTTCCCCTGCAGTGGAGAGAACAAGCCATCGTTCGCGTGGTACCTCTTCCGCTTTTTCTTCACTACATAGTTTTAGTCAATATGCGGTGATGGTAGTAATGACGCATTGGGTAGTGGTCGACTGGACTGAACCCTGCCTCTCGCGTGCCTGGGCATGTGCGCACTTTAAGGGGTTGTGTGAGGGAACACACTCATACACAAGGTTGGCGAGCTTTTCATGGCTTCGAATAATGTTACGGGAAAATACTTTTTTGGGGGGATCATTTCTTCACCCCTCCTGTTACTTGGAAAAAAAAAAACCGCTTCTCCGATCTGTGCTCAGGCACGCGGTCAATTATGTTATTTCCCCCTCAGATTTGCGCAGAAATGAGAGAAAACTAGGTCGACACGCCCTGTGCGCACGCACATAAACTGAAGAGGGCATATTCGTTACACTCGCATGATTTTTAAAGGTTTTTTGTGAAAGCAGGAATTTGTTTTTTTTTTTTTTCCCTTAAAAGTGAAGAATACGAGCGGATAGATATAACACTGTTTGTGCTATTTCACCTTGTTGGCTAATTATATGTGTTATTGTTTTTATTATTTTATTTTTTTTTTTTACCTTGACCAAATCTGCTTTAACGATTGACTTATTTTTTCTTCTCCTATATGATAATCGCCATCGAGATTACCAAATTACAACATTACCAAAGTCCCAATTTGCCCACGAGTATAGCCCACCACAAGGGTAGCCCGCCAGTGAAAACCCCGCTTTACCCCCCTGCGCCCCTCCAGCCGCTGACCCATGGATACGCTAATAGGCCTGAAGGGCAAAAACTTCATAATCCTGGCGGCAGATACGTACAGTGTGAATTCAATTATTAAATTAAAGAATGATGATAAAACGAAGTTTTACGACATTAACGGAAACAAATGCCTACTCCTGGGCGGATCCATTGGAGATAGAATTCAGTTTGGAGAATTCATAAGGAAGAATGTACACCTGTATCAGTACCAGAACTCCACTGATTTGTTTGTGAAATCCTTTGCCTTTTTTACGCGCAAGAATTTGGCCTACTATTTGAGGAGAAACCCCTACGAAGTCAACTGCCTCATAGCTGGATACGACAACGTAAGGGAAAGGAGGCTTCGCTCAGGATGTGCATAAAAAAAAAGTTACTGCATAACATGAGGGAGAAGGGATGAAGAAGCCCTCATGTCTGAGCGGTTCCCCATGTCGCAATAGAAATACGATTGTGTGTAATGTGTATGTGTGTGCACGTATCCCTGCCCTGTTTGCCCACCTCATAACAGAAACAAATGGGTTTGTATTCATTTCAGTGTGCTTCATAACCAACATACCTGCTTTCTGTTCACCCCTTTTTGTAGAAGGACGGTTACCAACTCTACTGGTGCGACTACCTTAGCAATATGGACGCTGTGAACAAAGGCGCCCACGGCTACGGCGCGTACCTTGTGAATGGTATCCTGGATAAGTACTACCATGAAAATATGAATCTCGATGAAGCCCTACTCATTTTTAAAAAATGTTTTGAAGAATTGAAGAAGAGATTTCTCCTCACCCAAATAAATTACGAACTACGTATTATGACAGATAATAAGATAGAGGCTCAATACGTGACCATTTGAGGCAACTTTCAGACGGGCCATTACCTGTCACCCCTCTGCCCTGTCCCATTTTTTACGTATCATGTGTGTATATATGTTTATATATGTAGGCTTCATGTATACACCTCCCCCAGGAGCATTCACAGCCATGTGGCATGCCCCCTTATGCGGACTAAATTTGCCATCAGCCATTCGAAAAACATTACGTATGACCATTTGCACACATGCAAAGAGGGGTAAACTAAAAAAAAAAAAAAGGCGCACACTGAATTGAGTTGCCATTCTGTTTTTTTCCTTTAGTACATTTTAAATTTTTACATGTTTTGCACAAATGGGAAACTGTTCACGATGCAATATTTTCGAATAGCTTAACTGATCATTAAGCAGAATTTATTTTCAAAAAAAGACTTTAAAAAAAAAAAAAAAAAAAAAAAAAAGGACAGCATAAAAACGAATGTACACTTATATGTACACGTTTGGAGGTCCACGCGAATGGGGATACGCTCTGCTGCCAACTTGGGTCTGCGTTTCCTTCAAGTTGTTCCATTCCCTCTATTCCTTCGTTTCGTTGCGAATGGGTTAAGCGCTGTTCTCGTCCCATGCATCACCCCCCAAAATTGACATAACTTTTGCGCGTCCACTTTGGACATACATAGACGTACGCAGGAAGGAAGGGAAACATGTGTTTCCTCTCCTCCATCACCCCGTCAAGGCTTCATCGATTCACTTACTCGCACTGATTTACTCCCCTCCCCTTCCTCAATCATCATGCGAGTCATACAAATCTTCGTTGTTTATTCTTTCGTACGAGTACGAGGCAATTATGGAGAACGGAATTGTCATCAGTATGATGAGAAGGGCGAAAAAGACGTTATTACGATTTAGGGACCATTTGTGCATGAGGAAGGGAATGAAGGGAAAGGACATAAGCATCATTATGAACAGGATAAGGACAAATTTGACTGAAATCATTTTGTGGGGAAGGTCTGCAGTTACGCGAAAAAGTACAAAAAAAAAAAAAAAAAAAAAAAAAAGCAGTGTGGTGTGCAAAAATGCCTACGGGTTATTCTCCCAAGTGTGTTTTTTTCTCGCGCTTTGGTTTTTATGTGTGCTTGCGTTTGGTTACTTCTCCGTCCGTAGTTTTCGTGTTCTCATTGCTTCGAACAGTTTTAGAACTTCAATGCGAGATTTGTTGAAAAGTAAAAGTGTTACGATGCCTGGTTTACGAGGCAGAATTGGGAAGGAAACGGCTCGCCTTTCTTAACACCTCACACGTGTGCTACCTGCAAAATGTTTCCTCATTTGCTAATATACGAGGTGGTGTTCCCTGTTGTAAATTTTTTTACAGCATATGTGTAATGCATGATCATATGGAACGCGAAAAAGAGAAGTTGAATTTTCTGAGTTTAAACCGAAGGGACACATACATACAATTTGTGCTTTCATTTTGTCAAGGTTTTCTCCAAAGGGGAATAAAATCCCTTCATGAGAGGGTTGAAATGGCACAAGGTGATTGTACGTACACATGGGGTGTTTTCCCTTTTAAGGACAAAAAAAAAAAAAAAAAAAAAGATCTCGCCCCAACTCCATGTTTCGCAAAGGTGTACCTTTTTACAGGACGTCTTCGTGGACGTTTAAGTTTCTCTTTTTTTTTTTTTTTTTAAGGTGTGGCATAAATATAGCAAGGACGGGGCTCAGGTTTTACTTCATGGCCACCTGGAACGAAGAAAAGGGCGCCCCCAATATTTTGCAGCATAAAAATTACTGATAAATGATAAAAAGTGGACCATAATTTTACCGCGCTTGGGATTAATTATCCTCTCCGTTTTTTTTTTTTTTTTTGGGTAAGACTGGAAAAGCATATATTATGCGGGAAAAAAAAAAGGCACCACTGGATTGGCAATTTTGATCTCCTAAACATAAGCATAATTTTTGCCTGTTGTTCTATCGAAATGGTAAAAGTGTTACAACCGCGCATGTAGGGAATTACGGGTCGACGTGACTTTTTGTTTGTTCTTTTAAAATATACTATGTCGAGGCGGAATATGTAATTCCTGCAGTAGGCGCTGTTGTGCCATTTTTTTTTTTTTTGTTTTTTTTTTTTGTTCACCTGTGCTCCGTTTGGCGCTCTTTGAAAGGCAACTGCTCGCAACGTTATGGTAAAATGGTGGCGCTGATGCAACGCTACTGCTGCCTCCCTACTGTTTATTGTTCTTATTCCTGTTACCCCTGTTTTTTTTTTTTTTTTTCCCGCAATTTTTTTGGCCAAGTAGCGAAATCGAAAGGAAGGGGACTAGCGTCCCAATCTCCATTTTTATTATTTGCAATAATATTTATTTATTTCCCCCCCTTTTGAGGATACATTTCTGCATGACGCTTTTTAAACAATTATAAAGTAACGCGAAAAAAAAAAAAAAAAAATATGCGAACAACGGCATGGGATGAACCCAACTGCTTCATAAGGAAATTGTCCTAAAAAAGTTGTACGGGGGAATGTTTCCCGCTTGGGGTATTTCAAAAAAAAAAAAAAAAAAAGGGGAAGTCTCAATTTGCGCAGGTGCAAACTTTATATAGGGATGAAATTGAGTGACAGTCTAAAGTGGGAAACCTGCTCAATACATTAAACAACACGCAAGCTATATATGTAAATGGGCATGACCAAACTGCTAACTTCTGCCTCAGTACAGGGTGTCCACAACGCGTACGTAGCATGCCCAAGGAGTAAATTCTTGCGTGGATTTATTCATCACGTGTATACGTGCACGTATACTTATAGCAGCACCTAACCCAACAGCGCTTACACTATGGAATTCACAGGGAGTAACTTCCTGCGGTTCAGACTAGCTTTGAGCATGATCAGCGGGAAAGCCATAACCATTAAAAATATTAGGACAAGGAAAAAACAAAAAACATCCGGGACAGATGACCACCAGGGTGATGGAGTGGAGAAGGAAGGTCTGCGGGAGTACGAAGCCAAGCTGCTAAAGCTGATCGACAAGTTATGTGACGATACAACGATTAAGATCAATGAGGAAGGAGATGAGTTATATTTCAAACCAGGATTTTTAATGGGGAATGTAAATGATGAAGTGAGGATAAGTGATTTAGACAATACTTTTCACTGTGGAAAAGAAAGAAGCATCACATACTTTCTTGAGTTCCTCCTTATGGTAACTCCATTTTTTAAAAACCCCGTCAAATTGACATTAAAAGGAATAACCGATGATTCTATTGATACAAGTGTTCATACATGTAAAGTTGTGAGCGAACACTTTTTTAAAAATATTTTAAAATTGGACGATTATTTTTTAAATATTAAAATTGTAAAAAGAGGAATAAAGTCTGACTGTTCAGGTGAAGTTTTGTTTTTTATGGACAACCTCAAGACAGTAGAACCGTTGGATATGAATGATCCTGGAGTGGTTAAAAAAATAACGGGGACAATTGTTTGCAATAAAATATCTCCTGTGTTTAGAAACAAGTTGATGAATTTCGCTAAGAAGAATTTGCTCAACTTTACTCCATATGTCAGCATAGAAGTGGAGGATGCCAAGGTTAAAAATTTCAATTCGCAAAATCATTTTATTTCGTTTTCCTTGTTTGCCCATACGAAGAATAAGTGCATGTATGCCACGGACCTGTGCGTAGACGAGTTTTTCTTGAGGCACGCCCGTGGCGTTCTATGCAGCGGGGGGGGAAGCGGCGAGATGGATGATCAAGACGAATCAATGAGTGAGGAAGCAACGGACGACGAAGAAACAAACAAACCCCAGAGGAGCAGCCGCACCGCCGAGTTAGACAAACAGAATAAAACCCTGCATGATGCGGACATATACGAGCGGCTGGGATTTTTTATAGCCCTTAAGATGATGAACGAAATAAAAGGGCTTCCCTCGGTCGATTCCAACTACCAGTGGCTGCCCCTCTTGTACATGGCCCTGGGAAATGACTTGGCTGTTTCAAAAATTTCCTTGAGCATTGTAAAGCCGTATTCCATTGCGCTAATTAGATTGCTGAGGGACTTTTTCAGCGTCGTGTTTGACATTAAGAAAGTTGAAAAATCCCCAGTGGACCACTCCTACCTGATCAAGTGTGTGGGCATAGGCTATCGCAACATTTCGAAGAAAACCTTTTAGCGGTGGTACCTCTGCAGGGTTGTTTGAACAGCTATCTTCGGAGGAACGGCTTACACCCATTTGTCATTGTCCCCTGTACATACAAAAAACCACACCTCCAATTTAATTCCCCAGAGTGTGTGTTTGCCTAAATGATGGAGTTTTTTTTTTTTTCGTTTGTCATTATGCTACCTGTTCAATTTTTGACTTTTTTTGTTCATCGCAAAATTAGTAGGCGTAGCCGCACGTGGAAGGGGGAGGGGCTACACGTGTTCGGGTGCCCCCTCCAACGTTTGAGCATTCGAACGTAAGCGTGTTAAACTTATTTGTTTTTTATCTCTTTCGTTGTAGACTTTCCTTATTTGTACCCCCCTGTGGGAAAGAATAGTTACATATAAATTGGGGGCAGTTTGGCACCCCTGTCTACCTCAAACACTGCAATGGTGTAGCAAAATGATGCAAAGCAAACTGTGGAATGCAGCGTAATTTTAATTGGTCTGTACATACACGGTTTGTGCGTCCTCCTATTTGCGATGTGTATTGGTTTTCTTTCCGGCCTGTTCCTCCGTTGCAAAAGATGGGTTGACTTATTCCAGACATGTAAAAAAGTCAAAGGGGCAGGAGCTTACCGCACACCTTTTCGAAAACAGTTTCCTTTTTAACAAAATAACCAAAATTTTTGCTTGAAAAAGACGAAAATGAGAAAAGGTTCTTAATGCTGAATAATAAATGTAAGAAATTGTTACTAATTTTAAAAAAGTCTAAATAAAAAAAAAAAAAAAAAACAGAAATAGGAAAAATCTATTAAAAAAGAAAAAGTTAAAGAATGATAAAAACATAAATTTTTTAAAAATCCCATGCAAGTATAAAATGAAAGACAAAAAAAAAAAAAAAGGAGAAAAAAAAAAAAACATTTAACAAAGGGATGAATATACTCGGATAAATAAACGACGCTGTAAAATGTATTGCGATAAAACTGTGTGGGGGAAAAAAAAAAAAGAAAAAAGAAAAAAAGGAATAAAATGATAAACACGATGAATAAGGAAAAAGGGCAAAATAACACTCTTTTACTTTTTATGGTACAAAAGCAATATAAATGCATATAACGCAAAAAAGAACTGTATTGAAATTGCCACATAAATTATATAGGAAATAATGGGCGGCGCAAAATGGAGCAAAATCGCCATAAGAGGAGGGAGGATTTCAATGGTCCTAAAAAGGCAGCCATGCGAACAAAAATACTGCTATAAAATTGTCGCAAAATGAACATCAATTTGTCGTAAAACTGGACAATGTGCCATAACGCGGTAAGCGAACAAGGCGCGATGGATGAATGAAAAATCGTAACGGCAACTCAAAAGATGGAATGTTCTTATGGCTTTGGAATTATGAGCATATAAGCATATACATATATATAACGCATATGCGATGATGGAGCTTTTTTTTTTTTTTTTTTTTTTTTTTTCTCCTGTACGTTGTAGAAATGTGGATACGAGTACATATCAACACACGATGTACACACGTGTTTATCCCTTTTATTGCATTCAATGCGAACTGCTATGGTAACTCTCTTTCTTCATCTTTTAAGTGAACCCTCAATGGAGTTACATTGGTCGGGATGCGTACGAGTGTTCAAATGCAGGTATTCGCAGGCTGTGTGTAGACATCGGTACATCCTTCTCATCACATGCACACACAAACCAAGTATACCAGAATTAATTATGACGTTGCACGCAAATGTGTCTCTGTAGCCTATGTGGTAGCTAAGAAAATGCGCCGTCGTTCTTGGAATCAATCGTCTCTCGATACAGGACACTTCTACTCAGGTGACGAATGAGCTTCTGAAAAAGTCGGTACGATTAGCAACCACTTGGGCACAAATTCGTCATACACACATGGTCAATTGGGAATAAAAAAAAGGACAATTCGTTGTGGCCCTTCTGCTCACAATATTTCGCTCTTCTTCGAACGTTCCACTGGGTTCTCTTGTCAACTCCATCTAGGAGCCACGCGTTCATCGCAAACATACGTCAACTGGTACGCGTCCGGGTGAAGAGGTCTGTAACTGACGGTGCGGAAATATCGACCGATAGACAGACACACAAACAACCCCGTTTCGCTATCCAACTGGGGTTGACACAAACACAAAAGCACAAACTTTGTTTCCACCACTATATATTATTAATCTTTCTTGTCTTCTTTCTTTTTCGCATCAGGGGATTCTTCCTCAAAGACATCCTCATCATTTTCATCGTCATCTTCCTCATACGTCATGTTGTCATCCGTCGTATTTTTCGTTGACTCCACGTCAAATTCATATTTGCCCGATTCAATATTCTTTTTAGACTCCATAGATTTTAATTTCTCCTCCATATATGATGACAAGTGTTTCAAAGTGCATTCTTTGGGTAGAGGAGGTACATTTTTGGAGTTGATTCTGGTGTAGAACATTTTCGATTTTCCTATTTTCAAATAAGGCTCTGATACCCAGAAACGATATATTTGGGACTTTAATATTTGGTCTATTTTGGCTACAATCAAACCTGGGTCTTGTCTCAATTTTGTGGAGAAGTTGTTTTTACACTCGTTCAAAATACCATGCAAGAATAGCAGTGGCTTGGACTCGATGGCATAAAGGGTGTTGTTGTAGACGGCAATAGTACACTGGTCCCAGATTTCTCGTAACGCCTGCACGGTGATGGGTAGGAAAAAAAAAAAATATTAACAAAATGCAAAAAATGTAAAAATATTATGAACAGTTCATACTTATTTTTCCACACTTGGGGGTGTCCACCCCCCATCATTACACATTGCGCAACATACAAAATTTCAAATTGGCACTTACCTTTTCAGTTTTCTTCTCAATGGCATTATCCCCGACAATTTCTCTAACAAGTAGTACCCACCACATTCTTGACCATCTCAACACTTTTCTATAGCGCACTACTTTTTTGATTTTGTGAATAAGTTTTGTGACTGGATCCTTCACACCATGTTCATACAAATCTTTGATCGTTAAACTGGAGAAAAAAAAAAAAAAAAAAAAAAAAATGAAGCTCACGTTATATTGATCAGACATATTTGAAAAAAAATATACGAGGTACTCATCACAGCGTAACCAACGCTTCCTACAATGTGTCACACTCGTGCAAACTATTGCTAATGATAAATCCACGCAATGCTCACCTGATTGGGTCCTTGACTATTGTTGTTAAGGCGCTCGTTGCCGCTAAATCACTGTAGTTGCCACATTGCACAACATTGGTCGTCGTATTTTTATAAACGATCAAAAAGAAAAGGAGGGATAAAATATAACTGACTCTCATTTTCAACACCAAAGGAGAAATTAGGTATTAAAGTAAAAAAGGTGTAATTAATTTAGGCGAATGGGATGTTCTCCCGACGTCCCTTCTATTGTACTAAATCAGAAATGTAATGAGAAGGAGATGGATAAACAACGTTATGCCAACATTAATAAAAGTGCGACCAACGTGTGTGTAAATATTGAAGAACAATATCCTTCACAATGGCACGTTCAAAATGGATGTATTATTACACATACAGTAGAAATGTATATGGGGGAGATGAAATGCACGAACTTATAAATGTTATAAATGGCAAGAAAGGTAGGCCCTGTACACGTATGCTGTAAAAAAAAAAAAAAAAAAAAAATGTGCCAGATAGCTAATTTAAAATAGGGACCCCTTTTAAAATTGGCTTCATATAATATTTTAAATACTGGTGTGAAAAAAAAAAAAACCCTAAAGCAAATAATTATGTTTAACTAAAAACAAAAAGTAGTTAATGCAAAGAAAACTCAAAAAAAAAAAAAGCAAGGGATGAAAGAAATAAACGATGCATAATGAAATATATATATTTTTACTTTTCGTTTTCGATTTGCATGTTTATCACAATGGGAAAGAAGAAGGAAAATATATATTCTGCTTCTTCTGGTTGATCATGGAACACGGAAAGCTTTATGGGGTTGGGGAGAGCCAGGGGTAAAAAGAAGTCATACGTGCTTGTGTATGCTGCATATGCTATATGTACTGTGTGTGCTTTATATATATATATAGCCCGACAGGCCGCAGCGTAATAAATGCGTGTATATGGGATGAACGGGAGAGGTACGGAAAGAATATTATTCGCACTGCAGTGATTACGTTTGCTACACTAAGCAATTCAAAGCGTTCGCTTAAGCAGAGCCCAAAATGAAGGGGGTCTCTTCTCCTCGTTACATGTACGCGTTCGCATCAGCGGACATAGTACACTTACAGAGGGGTGCCATGTGATGTAAAAAAATAAATAAACAAATAAGTGAATAAGCAAATAAATATATTTACATTTGCATTCACACTTATAAATGTAACATGGAAAGGCGTACATGCATCACATATACCTACATATGCATTCTTCTGATTACTTAAAAGTTGGCGCGAAAAAACTTTTCATCATGTGCTAAAAGTCATCTGTGATTGGGTAATAAATAAAAATCATTTGTTACTTATTCATTTTTGCGTTTTTATTTCTGTGCAAAATTCTTTCAACAATTTGTTTTATGCGGCAAAAAAGAAGTGAACAGGTGTTAATTACATTTTAAAAATATAATTTTGGCGCAAACCAAGCTTAAAAATTTTTTTTAATGTGCTGGCATTTGTCATAAGCGGGATGATAATGTATATATAAATAATAAACAAAAATAAGTAATACATTTAGTGCACAATGTATGGAGCCATGTGACGTGTACCTCTCTGTGAGCAAACCGGTAAGAAAGAGCTCATATTATGTTGGTCACATCGCGTTTACATAAATGAGTGCTTAATTATATTATCACGCGCGTAAGTAATTTAATGTATATAAAACAGTACACTACACTTATATGAGCCAAAACACAGCCATGTCGAATGACAGCGTGCCGCCAAGTCGCCATGTTCACATGCGGCACCTTTTTTCGTTTTTCTTGAACCGTGCGTTTGCTTTTTGTGCGAAAATTTTAAAAAAGAGGTAAGCGTGCTCACATA